ATCAGTGGCGCTAGACTCTGTTTCCTGACGCTAGTTCCTACATGTCTCAGCAGCTTTCTGTGCTCGATAAAAATTTTCAGTTTCGCGCAGCATTATTTCGATCCTAGTTGTGAAAGATATTTCTCAAATTTCCTACGTATAAAAATCCTATGTTTTAACTCATTACGGATGGTCTTTCCAATGAGATCTTTTTTATGCATATGACAATAATGTTAATCAAAATTACACACATGAAATACTTATAATTTTTCGAGTCTCATCCACTCATTCTAAATCATTGCCGAAATAAATTTCAGGAATTAAAATAGAAATCCTCCCCAGTGGAGTCGCCAAAAAACTGTAGGGAATATTTCAAGCGCTAACCCCTAGCTTGAACCCCACTGTGATCATACACTAAAGTACGGTGGCTTCCAAAGGGAAAGAAGATAGAGCAAAAGAGTCGCAAACAAGTTTTTTTTAGGAACTTGTAAACCGTTCGCGAGGTGAAGGTTACACCCCTTAACGATCGTCAACTCCAATAGGTCTTGAACCATGACTGGTAGTTCGGGGATGAAGGTACTAATCCAACCTAAAAGAGATTGAACCTACCCTAATAATAGGCCTCTACTTTATTCTGATCGTATTCATGTGCGCTTTCTGACTAACATGCAATCAATAGGATTAACCCTAAACCTGTTTATTTATGTTGGTTGAATATTAATGCACAAATAAATCTATTATTGGCGTTCAATTGAATTATAATCATATTAACCCTAAACAAGATCATTAATTATCTTATTAAGCGTGATTACAAGTGCCAATTCCCTTTAAACATGCATAAAAGGCGTGATCAAGCAATAAATAATAAACAACATCAAGCAACATAATAATAATCATCACAATTATTATAACAATTATAATCATAAAAATAATCATGTTAATAATAAAGCATAATAATAATAGCAAGATCCTAGGCATGATACTAAAAAGATTAATAACAAACCCTAGCATGTCACTAAACAATAAAAATCAAAGCTTTAACCCTAACATGATACTATTAGGAAAGACAATAAAAGGCATCATAGAAATCATAATTGACATTATATTCGTTACCCTAAACATGATACTAGGAACTTATTGTTGTCAGTCTAAACATCAAATTAAGAAAAACATCATAACATGATACTATGAATCATAATAACAACCTAGACATGATTTCTATATCATAATATCAATTAGATCATTAAAGTACTTACTTGGATGCCTCGTGCCTCTTTCTAATAACAAAATACACACGTTAGTAACTTCAAGGAAAATAATAAACAAAACAATTAAATTAAATAATTGAAATAATGATTAGGGACCAAACCCTCAAAATTAAAACCTTTCACGTCTAGGGTGAAGGCAATTTCGAACTTGGCTAGGTGTATCAAAGTTTCGACGAGAATAAAACTCGATCACAGCGTCAAACACGCGCGTGGCGCCAAACGCTGGATTCTAGCACTAGACGCCAGGACTGGCGCCTGACGCTACACTTTGGCGCTAGACGCTAGGCGTGGCGCCAGGCGCTGGAAAACAGTTTTTGCGGATTTTGTTTTTATCATATCTTTTGATCTGGAAGTCTAAATAAGGCATATAATATGTCGATGGCAAGCTCTTAAAGTCTACTTTCCAACCCAATTAGAATCAGATAAAATTTTTATGTAGATAAAAAGATATGGACGAAATAGTGGAAGGGTGTCAGTTTTGGATAGAGTTTCATGTCTCATTCATATCTTTTTCGTTATAACTCGGATTTAATATTATAATATATCATTGGAAAGATAATTTCAAGATATATCCAACCATATAAAATTTGGATAAAGATATGAGGCACGAATATAAAATCTGACTTTCTTTGAACATCTTTAAATTCGAATAGAATTAGGATTAAAAAAAAAGGAAAGTTTTTTTTAAAAAAAAAAAAAAAGTTTTTATTTAACTTAAATTCTTTAATCTTATCTTTTCAAAAAGGATAATTAAGATCTTTTAAAAACTTATGGAAGGTTCTAATTAATCCTAAGTAGTTTAGGAATAGGATTAAACCTTTGGACCCTCCACATTATCATTGGGCCGTAGGTAAGATCCGGTTCGAGCCCAGTTTAGTATTTTGGTCATAACTTCCTCATTATTTATCGGAATTGGGCTTATAATATATCGTTGGAAAGGTCTTTTCAAGCCCTATCCAACTACACTATTATTGGACCCTTATTGGGGACCAAACTAAAATGGAATGCACGTTTTTCATAAATAAGGTAAAAAAGAAATATTTTCAAAAACAGAAAGAAGAGATATTTTAATAAAAACATCCTCATCACTAGACTTTTCACACTTTCGCTTTGTTCGATAATCAAATGACATGAAAGGTATTCATCACTGGGTTTGGTTTTGGGGAGACACATTTGGGTGTCTACAGAAGGGTATTGGTAGAGTCTTCCATGGTAGTATCCGAGATTGGAGAGCTAGCCATGACAAGGGAGGGAGACTAGAACGAGCTAGCTTAGAATTAAGTTAAACTTAATGTGAATATTCTTGATATTAGCTTTTATTAATTTTCTTGTAAAAAAATTAACTTTTTATAAATACAAGAATAAAGTAATGACCATATTATTCATAAATGTACTTCAAAGCGACCGCACAAAATTTAAATGGGAAATGTTTGAGGAATAGGTTAACAATATAAATTAGATTATTGTGATTTTACTACTACTTGAGTGGTGGTATTTGTTGAAAATGGAACTTGATAAAGAAAAACACACTTGTAGGAATGAGATTGAATCTATTATATAATTGTAGTGTCTTTTAACCACAACACTTCAAACTCTCAATCCTCAATTTACCTTACCTTTACTTTTCTTTACCCAAAAAAAATAATAATAATAAAAATTAAAAAAAAAATAAACGATCAATTTTAATTACAACTTCCTATTCTCTAACATCCATTAAACAAATTTATCAACAACTTCCCCTGGCATATTCACAAAAATCAATTAATAATATCATAGTAATAAAAAAAAATTTAAAAATTGATATATACAATTTATATATTCCTTTCTTTAACACGAATACGCCCTAGTTATTACAAAATTTAGAGGATACTTTGCAGGAAAGATAAAACTTATCTTAGGCCCTGTTCACTTCACTTAATTTTGCTTAACTAAAACTATTTTTTACTAGAGCTGAGATTATTTTTACTAAACTTAAATTATTTTTATTGAATTGAAATTAATTTTACTTAATTGTAATTATTTTTGCTAAACTGAAATTATTTTTACTAATTTTCTATTATTTTTCTTCTTTATGTTTACTGATTTTTACTAAACTGATATTATTTTTACTAAATTGAAATTATTTTTATTGAACTGAACTTATTTTATGCTAAACTGAAATTAATTTAATAAATTGAAATGAAATTTTTTTTTAAGGTGAAGTGAACAGGGCATAATTCTCATTGACGCTATTTAAACCATCTATTAAACAACTCGTATAAGTTAAAAGTAATGATATGAAACCAAGAGATTCATTCTTTAGTACCAAGAAAATTTATTTATAAGAAGGTTTATTCTTCAGTCCCTACTATATCCTATTTCTATATATACCCACTTACACCATGTTCATTTCACCTTATTTTTGCTGAATTGAAATTATTTTTGCTGATTTAAAAAAAAAATTGAAACATATACTGAACTTATATTAATTTTACTAAACTGAAATTATTTTTGCTAAACTGAAATTATATTACTGATTTCTGTTATATTTCTTCTTTATGTTTACTATTTTTCCTAAACTGAAATTATTTTTACAGAAAAGGAAATTATTTTTCCTAAGCTGAAATTATTTTTGCTGAACTTAAATTAATTTTGAAGTGAACAGTGTTAAAATGTTATTGCAAAAAAAGATACACAATTTCAAGGATTTTTCTGTAGCACTAAGGCCATTTTCCCTTCATCAACAAACCATAAACATTGAAATGGAAATTGTTTATGCGAAAACTCCTTAGGAATGGAATTGAAACACGGTGTAATCTGGGTAGAAGAGGATTGGAGATTAATATTCAGTGTGACCTTTGTGGGTCTCAGGAGGAGGATTTACAACACTTGTTCAAATTTTTCACTTCTGCTCAAGATGCTTGGAGGGATGGAATTTTACAAATCCACTCACAATTTAATGCAGACCAATCCTTTGAAGATTGGATCCTGTACTATATTCGGCTTTTCATATGCCAGGATGGTTACCATGATCATAGAACCACGTTTTTTATTGCAACTCTGTGGGGGGTTGTGGATTTCGAGGAATAATAGGGTCTTTAACATCCCGGGTACAATTGGTATTTCTATACCATCCATTATTTGCGAGGGTCTTCACCAGCAGGGCATTTTTTCTACAGGGACAGATAATATGCTTAAATCTTTACACTCACCGGAACAGATTGTTGACCACCCTCCCGAGTTTCTACGAGCTATTTTACAAGACTCGGGTCAAGGGTTGAGGCCCACGGTCATTCTAGTCGATAGGTCTTGGAATAGGCACACTCATAGACTAGGAATGGGGTTCTTCCCAAAGCTTGGGGAGTACGGGGAACACGGGGTCATTGGGTGGAGTTTCCCATGGGTTGGCACAATCAGCATTACACGCGGAAATGAATGCTTGCTTGGAGGGGCTTCAGTTGGCTATCAAACGGATGCTACGTGCTATTACTATTTATACCGATTCATGTTCTTTGGTTTACTCACTCAGGACTTTAAAGGATCAGGATATTAGGATATTACTCTTAGATGGATGGTAGATCGTATCCATCAGCTCAGTCGAGAATTTATTGGTGCAGCATTCACAAAGTGCAGCGGGATGTGGTCCAGAAGGCCCACAACCTTGCTACGACTGCTTCTTTTAATTATTTTATGTAGTTTGTCGTTTAAGCTTATGTCAAAAAAAAAAAAAATATATATATATATATATCTTCCACCAGAAGCCAGTAGTCTTTCTTTCTCCAGTAACACCATGATAGGAATTTTATTACTGAAAGTTAACAAAGTTTGTGTTCAGTAATGGCATAAAGCAGAATATTAGAACAAAACTTTATGTTCTACAGGACAATGTTTATGAAAAACCAAGGTCGGAGAAAATGCTATTTGATAGGGAAACATGTAATATATTTCCCAAAATTCCGGATAATCTTGAGATTCTTGACTCTCCTACAAAACCTACACCTAGATCAACTGAAGTCATAAAAACGCTTGGCAGATTCAAGCGTGTTTAGCAGAAGCATAGCAACTGTCATGGGACCCACACCTCCTGGCACGGGGGTGATGGCGGATGCCACATTGATTGCTTCTCCATAGCATACATCTCCAAGAAGCCGATAACCCTGGTCAGAGCTTGAGTCCTGAGGCAATATGAAAATAATGAAATTTGCAGGTCAAAGGAAAATTTTCAAGATAAAGGGAACACATGTCAATTGAGATGGAAACGAAATTAAACAGCAAAGTTAAATCATTGTGTATTTAGAAATATGCTGATGACTCTTCATTCATCGTAATATTTGCGTTTTCTTCCACAAAGCTGGATCAGCCAAGAATTGTACAAATAACCAAAAGGTAGATATGCTAATACTTATAACTTGTGATTGTACAAATATCGAGATAGACGGGAACATAACCAAATTGAGGTGATAGAGATAATAAAAATTGAGTGGATCCATTATGGAAAGAGAGACATGTGTGTCAACTAAATAGTGACGGTTTTATAAGGAACATGTGCCAATTAAGTAGGGAAGGAGGGACTATTAATTAGACAGATGTTGAAATGTCAACAGAAAAGAAAAAACTAAGAGCACAAGTCTATACCTCTATTGGATATGTCCCAACATCAATGACTACAGCACCTGGCTTGAGCCAACTTTTACGAACTAAATTTGGCATACCCACAGCAGCAACCACAATATCAGCCTCACGCGCAAGCATTTCTGGGTTCTTTGTAAGGGCATGTATTACAGTAACTGTGGCATGATATCTCTGTTCAATAATTTCATTTTAAGACTCTTTTAAAAAGTATAAAGATGCAAAGCTAAAGCTAGAATATTTTCATCCTTTTGCTGAAAATGATAATATCAGCAATACCTGCAAAAGCAAGGATGTTGGCAGTCCGACAATATTGCTCCTCCCAATCACCACTGCTCTTTTTCCATAGATTTCCACCCCAGACCTAAGTAACAACTCGATGCAACCCTTAGGGGTGCATGGAATAAAAAGCGGCTCCCTCCCTTTCAAGGCAAGGTTCCCCATATTCAATGGATGGAAACCATCAACGTCTTTTTCCAATGGCAACATGCTCAATATTTTTCCCTCGTCCAAACGCTGCACATAATGAAAGGTATCTCTTAGACTACAAATGCAGCATTGAAACAAAAGCAAAAGATAAGATCAAGAAAAGATTGAACAGATAAAACAAATTCCGGAGAAGTTCTGATAATTTAACTTAGGGAAGAATAAGCTATGGGGCCTAATAAGTTCAAATATGTTAAAATAGGTGAATAGAACACACCCTAACTTGTAAGAAGAAGGAAACACTTGATAAACTACTTTCAGTTTGAAATATTCCCTCGCGTAAAACTATTAACTTACATATTAAACCATCAAAAAACGAAGCAAAAACTTATGAAGCATGTTATCAACAACAAACATAGTAAAACATGAGTATTTATTATTGGCAGTACTAACAAGTTTAAGATAAATGAAGCTTAACCTCCTAGTGATAAACAGAGGAGATTTTTCTAACCTATTCTACATGTTGATTCCTCAAAATGCATCTCAATACCTCATTTTACATAAAATTTCCTTCATGCTTTCACAAACTGCAAACAAGCATATTTCACACATACATACTGCTTTGTCAGTCAACCATTCCCACAAAATACATATTTTTCCCACTTATTACTCTCTCCTAAGTCCCTTTTGTCTATTAGGTTCACGACCATAACTCTCCCCTTTCTTTCCCTTCTGCAACACCAGCAAGAGCAGCAGCTGCTGTTTCCCAGTTTCTAATAGTTCAATTTTCTCCTCCCTTTCACTAAAACCACATTGCAAGGACTCTGCCAACTACAGGCTCTTCTGATCCCCTCTCGTGTTTACTTATAGTTGAGATTGAACGAGTTATTAACGATCAGGATTTGAGGCTATAGATGAATTTATGAACAAGTTATTCACAACCCTTAATAAGTCGAACATCGATTTGTTTAAATTAAGCTTGTTCACTGAACAAGCTAGAAAATCGTCTAAGCCGGCATGTTTCTAAGATGATTGAAATACCCTAATTTTTTTAGCATTATTGTCGTAATTATTTTAGATCAATAAGGATATTTTAGTAATTTCCATCAATTATACTAATTTGGAGCCAAAATATATTTCGAATTTTGGCACCAAAATATTAAGAGGACATAAATATTTAATAATTCTATATTACACTAACAAATATATTATTTTCGGAATTTCGAAATTATAATCAATAATCAATAATTTCTAGTTTTAATTACCTTTTATAATATGTAGGTCAGTCCATATTTATAATCATTTTAGAATACTTTCATGTTGTACGTATATCTTGATTATATATAAGATTATTTTAGAATTTATCTTAACAAGCTAAGAGACACGCACAATGCGTGCGTGTGCAATATAAGTAATCTACCAAGCTCGATTTTTTTTTCAACAATATTATCGCTTAATTATTTTTTTTTACAAAAAAATTAGTAGGTTTAAGAAATATTGATAAAATATAATAAAAAAAATATATGTTGATGATGTCATGTAGGCCAAATAATATACTACGTATTTTGATTTTTCTTGAAAAATATTTATAAAAAAAAAATAACGAAGGTATTTTTTTTAACTAAAGATGGTAGTTTTTTTAAGATAGTAGTTACAACTTTTTTTTTTTTTTTTTTACAAAGGATGGTATTTTTTTTTTAATTGAGGGGTATTTTGGGAAAGTAAAATTTATCACCCAAAACCCCCTTTCACTTTATATATTACTATACATTAATGATATTTAGCTAATTTAATTATTTAGAGATAACATTTAAATTATTATCTTACGATTTATAAATTGATTTTGGATTTAGAATTTATTACATATATATTTTTGGATTTCACAATGATATTTTAATTAACTAAATCAATTTCTTCTCTAATTATTAAACTAGAATTTCGGATTTTTATCAAAAAAAAAAAAAAAAGAAATAATCAATTTTGTCTTGGAAAAATTGTCAAAAATAATACAAACTTTAACCCATCCGCTAAAAACAAGTCGAACTTTTGATATTTTCTAAATACAAACTTTGAAGGGCATCCACTTTAAACAAGTTACAAACTGTCGGTGACTTGAATAATAGGTATAAGGGACACATGTCATTGTTTGATTAGTTTCACAATTTAATTTGATTTCTTAAAATTTATTTTAATATTTTTAAAAGACATAAATAATATTTATTATTATTAATTTTTTTTAAAAAAAAACCAAACACCCCTTTTTCCTGGCGTTAGGCTCTTCGGCGACCTCTGGCGCACCAGCCACCTTGCTTGGCTCTCCAGCTACTCATTACCCCTTCGCTGGCCCCAACATCCCTACCTCCTCCCCTCCTCAACTTCCACCCATCACGATAACCCACAAAAACCCTCCTTTTTCACAACCAAAAACCCCCAGCTACCTCTTACACCACCCCCATAGGGTTTTCAAAGGATGGGGAGGGGACAGTTGGGGATTTCAGGGACGAGGGAGGGCTATTTTGTGGTTATTTCGGGGGGGAGGAGGGAAGGGAGTTCGTAGTTGGTGGTTCGGGGGAAGGGAGGACGATGGCGGGGTAGGAATAGCTAGTGAGGGTCGACGTGGCAGGGTTGCTGGGTTGGCGTCGCCGAGGAGGAGGCTGCTGGTGGTGTGAGTGGGGTTTTTTTTTAATTAATTTTTTGAATGATTTTTAAATTATTTAATTGTTAATTAACTGTGGTTAAAGTTTTAATTGCCAGTTTATTAAATTCTACTTCCTCCGTCCCCGAAAGAACGACCCATTTAGCCTAATTTTAGTCCCAAAAAGAATGACTCATTAACATTAAAATACCCACCAATTTGCAACAATATTTGTGCAAAATTAGCTTCTCCATATAAAACTTTTTTTTTTTCCATATACTTTTATTACTATCTCTCTCTACTTTTTTGTAAACCCCATATAAATTTATCTTTCCAATATACTTTACTTTTTTTATTTAACTTTATAAATACCCGTGAAATCAACCCAAAAGGGTCGTTCTTTTGGAGATGGAGGGAGTAAATGAATTTATCACAAAAAAGAAAATGTTAACCGGCTATTTAGGTTGTAGGTAAAATATCTCGTTTTAAGCGGATACTCATTTAAAGTTTGTATCATTAAGAAAATATTGAAACTTCAACTAATTTTTAGCGGATGGGTGAAAGTTTGAATTATTTTTAACAATTTTTCCTTTTGCTTTTATAAAGCTGCCACCAAAAAAAAAAAAAAAAAAAAAAAAAAAAAAAAAAAAAAGTTTCAAGGGTTAGCATTATTTAGTTTTATAATTTTAATTACTATTATTTGCAACGGCTGGACCTTTTTCCTCTCTACTTTATGTCAAATCATTGCAAATAATATGAACGAAGCTAGTATTATCTTGTTTTAAAACTTAATCTTTAAGCTTTTCTATATTATCCTACTTATCTTCACTCTTCTAACCAAATGAATCTTTATCAAAATTCTTCTCATTGAACCATTAACCTATACTTAATCAAACTCAAATACATTAACTAACCCCAATTTTATCTTATTTTCTCCTTATCCTATCATACTTTAAACTCTATCTTCCTACCCTCTAAACACCTATAAATAGACCCTCAATTCCTCTCCTTCACTCACACCAAAATAAAAAGCAATTCCCCCTTTTTCTTCTCTTAACCAATGACCCTCTACTCCCTCTCTTCTCTTCTTCCGTTGGTTTTTCTCCTCTCATGCAACCAGAGCCAAATACAATAGCCCAAAATTGCCTTACAATCGCCACCACCATTGCTCCTAGTTGCCGCCAGTCTGCCACCAATACCACCTATTGCCCTTCTCTCTGAAGCCACTATTGCCTCCTTCAACACTGCCCACCTGCGTCGCCTACCATCGCTGCACTCTTTTCCCTCCCTTTGTCGTGACCTTTTTGTAAATATAAATAAAAAAGAATAAAAAACACTATTATAATTAGGCAAAATTGGCCTCAACACCCTGAGTTACAGCTTGGGTGCAGCCAATAATACCCCAAACTTTGATTAGTAGCTAAAACACCACAAACTATATATTGATTGGGGTGCCATGCGTGCCAACAATTACCTTTTAATTACTAGAAATGTCTCAATTTGAGTGCCCAAAAATACCCATAAATGACACACATTGCACCCAAATTAATGGTATGTGGTATTCTAGCTACTAGTTATAGTTCGAGGTGTTGGCTGCACCCAAGCAATAGTACAGGGTGTTAAAGCTAATTTTGCCAAAATTATAATTCTAATTATTTGATATTAATTTATTATTATTATGATACTAACATAAATTAGTGTTTAATAAGAAATAAAGTTATAATTTTTATAAGGTTAATATTTTAGTAGTTCATGCACAAGTAGGGTAGTGTGTATAGTTTTGTGATTATTTGTTAACTTTATATTAATTAAGGATTCTCTTGATTGTGATCAAGTATAACCGTACTTTAGTTTGTTGTGGTCAAGAGACCTTTGAGATACACATGTTTGATATGAATGATTGAATGAATATTTGAGCTAATGATTGAATGCTTTGAACCAAGCTTTATAAAACATATTAGAAACTGTGAACTCGTGATTTTATAATATAAGTTTCAAGAATTAAAAAGGTTTGATCTTTTAGGTGTTTATTAATTCAATAAAAGTGGTTTATGAATTCCGTGATTTTCAAGTTATGGAAACAATGGAATTAATTTTTTTTAAGCTCATTATGAGCCTAAGTATTGAATATATATTAGAGTCAATAAGGCTGCGAACTTTGTATGATCTAGCCTTTCCTCAAAAGATACTATCTTGATGAGAGAAATTGGATTTGGAAACTTGATATTTTTACATTAAAAGTTTATATTTTTGGAGACTAATAAGTGGAAGTTTCTATATTGGAATATTGCTACATTTGGAAATTTATAAGTGTCAAGTTTAAATGTGGAAAATTGTAAATTTTAAAAAGTTTTATTTTGGCATGTTTGAACAATAGTTAAACATTTCAAAAGCATGTTTGCCTAGAAGAGTATTGACATGTATTGCACTCATATATGCTTGTCATTTTGGCTAACGTGTATTCTTTTTTGTTTTTGGTTTGCCTTATTTACCATTCTTGGTAAGCTGAACTCTTGATTACAGGTGTGGAGTCGTTATGCGAATCGGGAAGTTAGGATTTGGATCACCTAGATAAGGAGTTTGTTTATTCTTAAGTTAGACTACTTCTATTTGGAGTATTCTCATACAACAATATTAAAGTAGAGGGATATTCGATTTGGGCTACTATTTGGACTGTGGTTATGGTTTGGGCTAGGTATTTGGTATCTTGGAATAGGAGGTTCACTATGCACCTTTATATTTTGGTGAGTTCTATTAAATGAGGTGGAGATTAAAGCTCATATGGTTTAGAAGATAGGCAGTCAAGATGTATATGTGGTGGTGACCAGAGTGGCATATCAAGATTATTTAGATAACGGATGTCTAAGCCTTCAGAAGATAGGTAGTCATGATGAGATGCGATGGTGAGAAGGGTGGCATATCAAGGTTTATATTGTTTAAAACCTGTATTTCTTGTGGTGTAAATTGACGGGGAACTTTAGAACTTCTAGGCTTGCAAGTAGATCCCAACTATTCTCAATGTAATGTAAGTCAACCTTAAAAATGGTCGAAGTTCCTAGCCATTATTTTTCATGCATGTGAACTACTGTATTCCACAAAATGCTACGTGTAATTATATTCTTATACTTATTGATTAAAGGTTCATACTTGGGTGTATTTGGTAAGTGAACAAAGGCTATAAGGATGATCCACGGTTCTTCATCTATAAATTTCGTATTTCTTTGCCTTTTTATATTTATGGCATGCCAAATAATATCTACAATAAAATCATGCACAAGTATAACATCTGTTCAAAACTTTAAACTAGTCTTTCATCATAGAAGTGTCTTCTTACTGTTTCCATCATCATTTGTGATAACATCAACTATTAAATAAACATGTGCAATGAGAAGGATGCTCAAGTTCTCATGTTAAGGCCTATAATGGGTACAACTCCTAACTAGGCAAGGCTCGCCACGAGATACGGGTTTGACCGTCCTAGATCAAGAATCGAGCACATTAATATTTTCAAAAATAAACAAAATGAATTGAAATTATTTAACTTTGGAAACAATTTATGTGCATTAGTCTAAGTATAGGTTCAAATAGCTTCAATATTCATGGAATTTCTGTTCCACTGATAGTGAGTTTTATGTACATGTTTACTTAAATAGTTTATGTTATCACAAATAATAATGGAAACTGTAAGAGGGCAATTCTTTGATGAAAGACTAGTTAAAACGAATGTTATACTTGTGTGTTCTTTTATTATAAATATAATTTGGCATGCTATTGATATAAAAAGGCAAAGAAATATGAAATTTATGGCCGAAGAACCATGGATCATCCTTCTAGCCTTAGTAAACTTACCTAATACACCAAGTATGAACCTTTAATCAATAAGTGTAAGAATTTAATTACACCCATTGGTTTGTGGAATACAATTGTTCACATGTATGAAAAAAAGTGGCTAGGAACTTCAACCATTTTAAGGCGGACTTACATAACAGTGAGAACAGCTGGAATCTACCCACAAGCCTATAAGTTACTAAAGTTCCCCTTCAAATTACACCACAAGAAATAGATGTTTTAAACAATCTAAACTTTGATATGCCACCCCCATCACCACCATATCTACATCTTAGCTACACATCTTTTGAAGACTTAGACATCCCTCATCCAAATGATCTAGAATCTTTACCCCATTTAATCGAACTCACCAAAATGAAAGGATGGCATAGTGAGTTGTTCTAAGAGACCAAGTACCTAGCCTAATTATAGCCCAAATCATTACTCCGGTCCATATAATAGCCGTGGCTATGAAAGATGATTCGGGCTATAAACCAAGTAAAAAGGAGTAAGACTACAGAAGTAGCAGTTGATTGTTTAATTCTTCTAGTTTTGCCCTTAGTGCAAGTTATTTTGCTTTGTTTTGCAAGCCAATTAGTGGCTCTTATGAGTTTAATAATTCTTAGTGACAAACATACAGTACTTGTTTTAATAAAACCTTTTTAGCTAAGTGTGGAAGTTAGTCAGTTATTAATAAAAGATTTATGAAGTTTTTCTTTTATTTTTTAAATGTGTATTTTTTATTTCAAGTTATTCAAGATGTCTTTGAGAGTTGGAAATAATAGACGCATTGGTTTTAAAATGAGTGTTACCCTTAGAAAGTTAACCAACACTGCTGGGAACATGAGTCAACTTGTGAGCCAAGGGAGTCATAGACCATTTTGGAGAAGTTTTCAAGAAGGTGGTTGGATTAGGGAATTTGATAAGCTCTTTGAAGCTATTAGTTTTCTCAAGGTGCTAAAAATTAATAATGTTGTGTATAACTTGAGGGACAAAGCTGATTTATGGTGGAGCCAAAACCGAGAGAAACTTTATTAGAGTAAGTTCATAGAATTAGAGGTTTGCACCTTCAAGCGGTACCCACAGTAGAGTCAAAAGACAGAGGTTAGAGGTTCGAGTAGGGACTGACCTAAGCCTTAAAGGGAAAGTTTGGAAGAGTGACTTGTGAAACCTTAGACGAAGTTTAAGGGATCCGGGAAGGGAGTTATAAAACTAGGCAAAAGAAGAGTGATGGGAGTTTTCGGGAGCAAAGAATTATGGAGGAAATGGGAACTTCAATACGAGAGACAATAAGGGAAACTTTAGAAGGGGAGTTATGGACAAGGAAGTAAAAACTGCAGGAATAGAGATAATGCCAAACCCAATAGAAGCTATTTTTGCAAGAGGTGTGAGAAAAACCACCCGACAAAGGATTGTGACAGAAACACCGTGACTTGCTGTTATTGACAGAATTTGAGCATCGCGAGTATAAGTTCTTTACAAAGGAGAAAGATGTTAAGATGGGAAAATTCCAAGAGACCAATAACCCACCTAAACCATCCTAGAGTAATGGACATTGGAACCAGTAGCGCTGCGGGAACGACTCCTAAGGGTCGTATATTCATGTTGAATCCTTGTAAGGCTGAGGCTTCTAATGATATGGTGATTACGAGGTGTTACAATAAGACCTAGTTTTGACCAGTAAGCGAGAGTATCAACTCATCTACTTTACAGCCATAAAAGCGGTAACCCTCCATGCTGTTCACTTAGCGCCATAAGCATGTTTGTTAAAAGCTATGAAATTCTTACCTGCTGTTCACTGTTTTAATATCTACTATTTAGTATATAGTTGTTACTTGTTTGTTAGTACGTTTGCAGATTATATTAGTCAATTAAGCATGTGTAATTTTCTGCCACTAGAAAAAGTATTTGTGGGCCATGTTACTCACTTTTCCTATTGTTACTTCTTAGCAACTACTGTTTCACTCTAAGGGCTAAGAGGCTTAAGCCTATACATTAGTTCTGGAATTAGTGTGAATTGTTGCAGCTTTTTCTGGCATTTCAAACAAAATATAACTGTCTTGCTTTATTACCTGTTGATAAACTAGCAAGCACCAATAAGTATCATGACAAGTTCTTAATGTCTTACTATCATCAGATAAACTCTAAAGATAACTTACTCCAATAACTAATCATCAAGACATCAAAAGCGAGTCTGAGTTAGTAAAATAAATATATTATTATGTAGCAATTCAGATCTTACCTCTGGAAGAGGAAGCTGCACAAGAACACCATGAATTTCAGGATTCTCATTGAAATTGGACAAAGCACTGAGAATATCATCTTCTGAGCAGCTTTCTCGTAAGTCTACAACTTCTGACCTTATTCCAGCTTCTTCACAGGCTAAGATTTTATTACGAACATAAATTTGGCAATCTCTTCTGTCACCCACTAAAATTACAGCTAAACCTGGGGTTTTTCCGATTGATGACTTCATCCGGTTTACTTCATTAGCTATCTTGGATCGGATCTCTTCAGAAATTGCCTTCCCATCAATTAAAGCAGCAGTAAGCTGGTTAGCTGTCGAAGTAGCCAGAACCAATCATTAACAATCAACGCAAAACATACTACAAAATAAAATTAAAAAATCAGTTTGGAACCCTAATGCAACGGAATGCGTGTAATAAACAGAAAATGGGTTGAAAGATTGATTGTTTGATTAAGCTAAAGCTTGCGAATGATAAACATGGCTTTAGGCCATGACTCTCCAAAGTCTAATACAAATATCTAGATGTCCTCTCTCTTCCTAGACAACAACTATTTATACTACTACTACTAAGCTAGAATTGGCAATAAAGCCTTAATTACTACAAGTACTCTTCTTGTCTACTTTCTAATTTAGCACACTACAAACAAATACCCTAAAGTAGCTGGTCTGCTCTGTTGCTCAACGGTCCCCTGCTTTCCCTTGCTGCTGCCATGGGTTGGTGTTGTTGATGGTCTGCTCCTGCTGCCCTCTTTGGCGCCTGCTGTAGGTGAGAGTCACGGGTGGTGGGAGTGGGTTCATTGCAATACTCCCCCCCCCAAAACAGCCACCTTGTCCTCAAGGTGGATCTGGAAACCTTGCCTTGATGGACTCCGCATCCTCCCAAGTTGCTTCGAACGCAGGCAGCACGTCAATCCCTTCTGCCCTCCCTAGCTTCGGTTACGAGCTCCAACTCAGGTGTGATTTGAGAGGGAATGTGGAGAAAACTAAAATATTTTGGTGAATTTTGATTGAAAAATTGAAGAAATTGATGAAAGAAAATTGATTTGGGGGTTAGGGTTTGAGAAGAAGAAGAGAGAGAAAAAGGAAAGTGATGATAAAAATGAGAAATAAGAGAGGAGAGAGAAAGAAAGAAAGGGGCACGGTTCCATTAAGAAGCCCGGAAGCCGCGCCCTCTCCTGAAACTGCCGCGCCTGTGGGTAGGTCGCGGCACATCTGCGGCCCCAAACTGCAAAATTTTCTAAAATTTTACCCGGTAAGAGGCCCGCCCACTTCTACTGTGCCCTCTCCTGATTTTCCGCTCCCGCGGGGCAACTGCGGCTTGAAACTGATCCATTTGTGCAATTTTAACCTAATAACATTGCCGCGCCCTTTTTTATTCTACTGCGGCCGCGTTCATTCACCCGCACCATTTGGTCTTTTTAAATCACAGAACCCTGCGGCCGCTCCATTACCGCGGGGTGCCCTCTCCCCTGCTTCACAAAAAGTACACCAACTCTTATTCTCCTCTTCCTCATCAATCACCCTAAATTCATATTAGATGATTGAAGGTAACCTACAAAACAAAACAAAACAAGAAATATAGACAAAGTTCAACAAAGAAAAATAAAAAGAGAAAAGAGGTGAGAATCCGGGTTACCTCCCGTAAGCGCTTTTGTTTAACGTCGTTAGCTCAACGATTACCACCCATTCAAGGTGGATTGTAGAGAATCATCTTGTGAACAAGACCAACGAAAACTCCATCAAAGTATTTCTTGAGCCGGTGTCCATTAACCTTAAAAGAAGATGAGGATCCAAAGGGGAAATTTTCACGACACCACTATCAAAGACATCCCCTTTACCAAGAAAGGGCCACTCCATCTAGACATGAGCTTCCCGGGGAACAACTTCATCTTGGAATTGTAGAGGAGGACTTTGTCACCAACACAAAACTCTTTCTTCTCAATAAGCTTGTCGTGAGCTTCCTTAGAACGAGCTTTGTAGGTACTAGCACAATCGTAAGCATCAAGTCTAAGCTCCTCTATCTCATGAAGATCTAACCACCTTTTCTCCCCCGCACTTGCCAAATCAAAATTAATCTTCTTGATTGCCCACAAAGCACAGTGTTCAAGCTCTATCGGAAATGACATGATTTGCCATAGACTAGGCGGTATGGAGTGGTACCTATAGGTATCTTGAAAGCCGTTCTATAGGCCCAAAGAGCATCATTCAACTTTTCCGACCAATCCTTCCGATTCCTTGCAACCGTCTTTTCAAGGATTAACTTGATTTGACGATTGGAAACCTCCACTTGGCCGCTTGATTGGGGATGATATGGGAGGCCAAATCGTTGATGGATTTCATGCTTTCGCAATATCTTTTGAAAGGCATGGTGAATAAAATGAGAATCATTATTGCTTATCATTGCCTTTGGTACACCAAACCTTGGAAAAATTACCTTCTTAAACAACCACCTTGTGGTCATTAGTTAGGGAGGCAATGGCCTCAACCCATTTAGACACGTAATCAACTACCACAAGGATATATTGATTTCCAAAGGACGAGGGAAACGATCCCATAAAATCGATACCCCACACATCAAACACTTCCAACTCAAGTATGGGTTGTTGAGGCATCTCATTTCACTTGGAGATATTCCCAACGCGTTCACAACGGTCGCATATCTTAAAAAAGCCCCATGAATCCTTGAAGAGATGTGGCCACCATAAACCGCTTTGAAGAATCTTAGTGGCGGTTTAAGAGACACCCATATAGCCACCACTAGGATCCGAGTGGCACATCTTTAAAACACTAGGCACCTCTTCATTCGGAACACAACGCCTAAGTAAGCCATCAACACCTCGTTTATACGAGATGGGATCATCCCACAAATAATGTCTTGCCTCTCTCTTGAGTTTCTTTCGTTGGTTCTTAGAAAAAGAAGGTGTAAACTCCCCACATGCTAGAAAATTTACTAAGTCGGTAAACCATGGGAGCTTGTGACAAGCGTGACAGGGTGGTGGGAGTGGGTTCGTTGCACCTAAGTCTTGAAAATTAAGCAAAGCAACAAGAGTAAAAGAATGCATATACATGATATAATCATACTTAAAGAGCATCTGATAATCAAAATATCTGAGTGCAAATTATGAATGAGACTTAAAGTTTGAAAAAAAATAGCATAGTGAGAATATGGATAAATGATTGCGATATTCAGATATATATATATATATATATATATATATATATATATATATAATAACAGGACAAACCAAATTAGAAATATTCATTTTTTTTTTTGAAGGACCGAGGCTTATATCATCTGAATGGTAAAAAACATAAAATCTCATTTTTGTTGTGCATAAAAATCCAAGTCGCAATATAGAACTACGAGGTATCAAAAAATGGTTAAAATGGTGAGAGTAATACTGCATCAATTCGTAATGTAGTGCTTGTTTTCCTTTTCATTTATTGTAAACCTCCATTAGTTGCTTCACAGCTTCAAAAAATGGAATGGTTTGTATGATTTTAAGAGTAGCATTATTCTGTAAGTTATATTAATATACAACATTTATATTGTGTGGTCGTGCCTTTAGGTAATATCCATACATAGGTTTGAATGGATAGGGTAACGAAGCATTGGTTTAGAATAAAGGATTATCACAACCTAATGCAATAAAGTGAATATGAAAGAGTTCTATAATTAGACTTATAAAAGTTGATCACCATAACAATCTTCTTCTAAGATCAAAACTTTATCCCTCCTTGATCCTAAAACTAAACAAGGACTATAAACATTGCAGACTGCCAAAAAGAGACTTTGAAAGTGTGCCCTAAAATAATAAGACACCTTCATTATAGGACTTTGCTAGTTTACTAGACTGTAATTTCAAAATTCCAAACCTTATGAAGCAAGTCTTTCTCATTGTATCCACCATTGCTTATCCCAGATGATCAAACACCCACCTCCAACCCTATGGCCAACATTCTAATAAATGAATCAATAATCCAAAATCAAACATATAAATTACTTATACACACTAAATATATGGTTAATTATTTCGACATTCTTTAAAACCCAAGCCCTTATATGTACATAAGCATACTCAATTTATAACCACTAAGCTCAAACTCCACATATTGCACATGCAGCAGATAAACAATCTCAGCCTCTACCTCTACCTCTTCTCATCATTCAACTAGTACACTGAATCATTTAAAAAAACAAAAAGTGAGGCATGGATCATACAAAGAAAAACTGATGAAAAAATTCCACCTTAGTCTGAATAGTCCCAACTTTTGACCAATTATGAATAATCCAACCTTTGGTGGGCAACTTCCCAAATTGGGTTTTAATCATTATAGCAGGTAAACCAGGTATAGGCTTATATAGCATGTAAACCATAATTTTTATTCGTCACTAATAGGACAACCCTTTTGTTAATAAGTACATAATAATTCTATAACCTTTCTCTCCTCCCCCTCTGCAGTGACCACTGTCCCAACTGCCCCGGGCTCCTTTCTATCTCCTCCCTCCTTTTGTCTTTCCCAAATCTCCTTCTCCCTAAGCTCCTAGTCTCCAAATAAAAGTCATGGTCTCTCCATTTGAAAATAAGAATGGATTTTATGAATTAGGTTGTAGACTAAAAAATTGTAATTTTACTTTGCTCCTAGAAATATTGTTAACCAGGGCCATTATCTGGCTACTGCTGCCAGAGACTATGGGTGACTCTGCCTCTTGCTTTCCTGCTTAGTGCCAAACCAAAAAGTAAACAACTATTTCCATAAATACCCCTTTCTCTATATAGTAATAATGTTTAGTTTTACCCCTTGAATTATTGTTGTTTAAGTCAAATAAACTTTAATTATGGCTTCAGCTTATATTGCAATTACATATGTCAATTTTACAGCATACTTGAAAACAGAACAGCAAATGTAGGTTGAGTGAATTGCAGAGATCAGATGATGTTACCAGAATCCAGCAAGCAGTAGCCTTATTTAAAGGCAATTGAGAGTGACGTGTGATTAAGGAGAGAGATCAAAACATGGGAAGGATGACAAGAGTTAAAGAGTGAGTGAAAGTGAGGACCTGGTTAGTTGGTTTGTTGCAGACTTGAGGTGGCTGTGTGGCATTTCTGCATCGATGAGGTAGTTATTTGAGACTGATCAACGGTGGAGGGGCAACAATGGTGATGGTCATGGAAGGTGGTGTGATGAGCTCAATGGGGGTGAGAGGTAAAAATCAAAAAAGGAAGTTTAAAAGTCACTAGGAACCAATTTAGGAATATACCCACCAAAGGATGGGTTATTATCCGTCAACTAAAAGGCAGGACAAATTTAAAATGACCAAAGGTAGGATTATTAATATCAAACTCCTTATATAAACCAAAGGTAAATGGTCCAAAATGTATTTTGTAACTTCAACTATATAGGGTGCAAAACAAAACCAAACAAAAAAAAGGGTCGGCTCAAGCTCAATCTTGATACAACTTATAGAGTGTACAGGTCATTTTCCTGCATTCTAATATAATTGACTGATTTTTCATCCTATAGCTTAAATTGTTTATATACTGGTAATTAAATTACCAGTCTAGTCCAAAATCCTCACTGAAAGCTCCCTTCATACTCTATGGTAAGACATACCCAATTAATGAATTCCTGAAGCCCTGAACCTTCTTTCCTCTTTTGCAAAATTACACTGTAAGACTCATCAAGATATCAAGTAATATCTCATCACTAGGTCACCCACCGCAAAAGATTTTGCCCTATCACTTTGAAAGCTCTTAAATCTGTAAGCACTTCTGAACCTCAGATGAATATTATATATCACCTTATTAGTGCTTATCTTCTCTAAAGCATACATCTTCGGCTTCAGAAGATGAGTCCATATTTTAAATGTATTCCCTCTCTTTGTGTAATATTCTAGCCACCACTAGGAAACTAGCTCACTATAACCCCTTGATTCCCCAATTCACCAAGAAGTATTCTACCTTCAAAATCCCGGCACTTAACAAGCAAGACCTCCTTAGTTTCTTTTCTCATGTTATACGATTACTAAATAATTCTATTCTCAAGTTATACAGCTATGTGTGTCGAAACAAGGGAGGAAATACATGATATAAACATTATTAAATAAGTGAACAGCATCAATTAAGGAAATACCTGAATGAAAACCCTCTGACCAACATCAATACGTTGAATATCAAATTTGGCATATTTGATAGATTTAGCAACAAGAGATAGAGGAAACACAAAGATAGATATACAAATGATATAAATGTAATTAAATCAGGAACTTCAACTAGAAATAACTTATGTACATCTTACAAGGATTTGGAATAGAAGCAGTTTCTTGTCGGTCCTGATCAACTCTGCAAGTCCAGTCTTCTAGCAGGTCAAGGGAGACAAGAGGTGGTGACTTTAGTATTTGACAGCTTCCATTGTTTGCTAACGATGAAAGAGATCTCAAAGACCTCAGACCTGTATGCATTGCCGCCTCACTTTTTCGTAACACTGCTGCCAACATTCCTTGATTTCGTCCTCACCAACAGGTCACTTCAAAAATCCAAGGCTGCTCCACTCTGAAGGGTGCTGCTATAACTTCTACAGTACCAATTTTTGTCAATCATTCTGGTTTTTAAAGTGTCCAAGCATGAAATAACATCCAATGTCTATGCATAAAGGTACAGAGAACAAGGATAAGATTGCTTATACAACTTTATTAGTTTACAAGATATGATGAATCGAACCAAATACGGCTATAAATCTGTGAATCAGACATCAAATTGAACTTCTCAATTTGCGGTGAGTTTGTCATCCTTTCACAGATTCTTGAATATCTTTCTGCCCAGGATTCAAATTCCAGGTTATACATCTACAGCTGTTCATTCAACAATGCTTCAAATTTTTCCTTCTTTTATTTAAAGTGTTCAATTAGAAAATTTAAAGTTTCAACCACTTCACTTTGACTATCATTTGCTATTTACACATTAGTTATGTTGGATTTAATTAGATTTGTCTCAATTTTATTTAATTCAAATTTTATAATATGTAAAAAAAATTACGATTACACAATTAAATACTTCCTCCGTTTTCGTATACTTGCAACAGTTTGACTATTACACTATTCATGTACTCCACTTTGACTAGCTTTGACGATTTATAGCTAAGAAAAAATATAGTCATGAAAGATCTTGTTAGATTCGTCTCGGTTTATACTATTTTGATATCTAAAATTTATAATTTTTACATAATGATAATTAAAGATATAAATAAGTGAAATAATGCATCGGCAAACGTGAGAAGAGAAGTGTTGCAAGTAAATAAAAACAGAGGAAGTATATATTAAGGTCAAAATTGCACATTGTGTCAAAATGGAGCAACTAAAAAAATAAATAGGAACCACAATATAATTTAACATGATGACAAATAATGCTAGACATACTTCATAATAATATACACCTTAGTATCAATGAGTGAATTATTACAACTACAGCATAGTAACATAATATAAGTATTTAATCAACTTATCTAATAGACATCACAAAAATGATGAAAAGATTTATTTTCAAGATAAGATGAATTCAAATTACAACACAATGTAAACATTGATGAATTAATAGCAACATTGGCAAAGTTAGACCAGCAAAAATTGAATTAACGCGGCATACTTCGCAATTAAAATGATACAATTCATCCGAATGAACATACAATTGAGACACATTTGAATTCACATATACAACAATCAAAATAAACAAAAATACATAATCAAAATAAACCCAAAAAAAACTATATTAGTCTCTAAGCAATCCATAAAGTAAAAGAAATTTGAACTGTTAAGTAGCAATTCAATGGTGCTAAACAATTTAAGCAAATTACTACCAAAAAAAAAAAACAAAGTACAAAAAAATTAGGGAAATTGAACCAAAATAAAAATAAAAAAAATAATAATAATAATAATAAAAAAAAAAAAAAAAGCTTACTTGTTTATCGCCATTAACGGTCAGGACGCTGCTCCTTAGAGAAGTAAAAGTGAAGTGGGGAATCTGCTGGGCCTCACTTTCATAACATAAGTCGGGCTTCGGTTACACTTGCAAACGACGACAAGATTTCACTTTGATGGTCTGTCTACTACGCAATTAAGTTCACTCCCTTGGTAAGGGACTCAGGTTTTTTTTTTTTTATTATTTTTTTTTTTTTTGAAAATAATACCACGTATTTTGAAAAAAATGGATTATAACACCACCTTAGGGGTTTCCATAATTCGGATTAAAACTGAAATCCAATCCAATCCAAACTGAATTATTAATTCGGATCGGATCGAATTGAGATTTTTTGAAAATTCAGATTTTCGGATCGGATCGGATTGACCCTAATCGGATCCAAACTAAACCGAAAACCGAATTATAAAATTAAGCATGTATGAATATGACTCAAATATGGACTGCTTGATGTCTTGAGTTGCTGCTGCTAGCTACCTATTGTTGAAAGTTAGTGGCTCTAACATGGTGAAAGTTTTTACTTGCTGGTGATGTTTGCCTATTTGGTTCTTGATGTTATTGTTGTAATGGTGTTTCCTTATAGGTGTAGTGGTGTACTAGTATTAGTTACTATTGAACAATTTATTTTATATAATCATGTCTATTTTAAAGATTTGTATTAATATTAAGGCTTGGAAAAATGTGATTTTTATAATTGTATTTGTATTTATTTTCATTATTGTATGAGTCTATTAGATGCTAAAAATAAAAGTTTTAATTCGGATTTTCGGATCGGATCCAAATAACCGAATTTTAATTCAGATTGGATCGGATTGGATTAGGAGAGTAATTCGGATCGGATCGGATTGAAAATTTGAAAACCGAATTATATTTCAGATCGGATTGGATTTGAGCTAAATCCAAACCGAAAATCGAACGGACACCCCTACACCACCTTTTCTCGAATTTGTATTATAACACCACATAAAAATCAAAAAAATAGATTTCACCACCTACTAACGGATTCCATCCAAGAATCCGTTAGTGGGGCTCACTTTTGACACATGTCACTCATTTATTAGATTAAAAAAATTTATTTTTTTAAAAAAAAAAAAAGAAAAATCCTAAAATGCTAAACCAGCCACCACCGCCGATGGGTTCCCACCACCGTCACCCAAACCTAACCCCCGAAGCTCCGAGACCGTCGCTGAACCACCGTCGTCACCATACCCTGCCCCAAAACCTCCGATACCGTCACCACACCATCGAAACCCCAACCTAAACTAGCCGAAACCCCAGCCCACATCGTCGCCGAACCACCGTCAGCCGAAACCTAACCCAACCCAGCCGAAACCTCCCAGCCACTTCGATTCCTCCTCGAAAAACCACCCCTGTACTTCCGCTTCACCTTCAAACCAGTCGAAAACCACTTTCGAAGCCCTAGCTAGGTCGATTTTGCGGTGAGGCAACGACATGGGTGGTTTTCGGTGGTTCGTGGTAAGGGTTTGCACGAACTGATTGGTGGGATTTGCGCGGGGGGGGGGGGGGGGGGGGGGGGGAGGGGGGCTGTGGTGGGTGGGGATGATGGGCGGTGATTTCGCCGGTGAAGGAAGGGTTGTCGGCGTCAGTATGAGTCTCTGACTGTGGAGTCGCGGCCGCCGGTGGTGGGCTAGTGGCTGGGTTAGGGTTATAGGGTGTTTTTCTTTTTTTTTTAAATTTTTTTACCTTTATTTTTTAAACCAATGTCTTATTGCCACATGTCTATTTTGGGTCCCACTAACGGATTTCATCCAAAATTCAGTTAGAAAGTGGTGAAATCCAATTTTTGGATTTTTTTGTAGTGTTATAATCAAAGTTTGAGATTATGTGGTGTTATAATCCACTTTTTGTAAAATTTGTGGTGTTATTTTCAAAAAAAATCGTTTTTTTTAATAAGAAAAATACTAAAAAACTTAGCATCTACATTAGGGTCAATGTTTACATAGCCTGTAATTTGATGGTCTATAGCTGCAACATAATCTGCTGTATGATTAGTTTCTCAATACACATGGCAAGAAGAAACAACCTCAAAGTGAGCCAACAATTTCTTGATGTCATTCATTAGCAATTGTATTTTCCAAGGACAACGTGCTTTATCCTGCAAAATATTTATAATTAAAAGTTTATTAATAGGAGTCGAGGTACCAAGATTATAAGCACGACATTATTTCCTGTATAATCTCTAATAACAACTCCGGCTTACCCAAAGTTATTACGAACAGAACCATCAAAATTAATTTTGAAAACACCGGGGCCAGAGGGGACCAAGCTACTTGGATGGTTTTATGGTAAAGAGGAGAATGGATCTTGGGAGCAATGTCATTAAAAGAATCAAGGTGAGAATGAATATTCCATTCTGTAAATATTTTGAAAGCTCTAGAATAAATACTCATAATAGTAGAGGGGGTACGATTAAAAATAAGAGCATTACGACCTTTCCATATACTCCATAAAGAAACAATAATCTTTTTTACAGGAAGGTTAACATTATGACGAATGTCTCAAAAAAGAGTAAGGAGATTCGGGGTAATAACATGAGTTCCCAACCAATGACTAACGATATCTGCATCCCAATACTGTCTAATAAATGGACAATTAAGAAACGGATGATCCTGTGTTTCAGCATGTGAATTACATAAGGGCAAATATGAGGGACATTTATATTACGGTAAATCAAATTATTTCTAGTTGGAAGAGCATTAAATAGTAGTTGCCAAATAAATATCTTTAGTTTTGGAGCAATATCTAGTTTCCAAATCCAAGAAAATTCCCATTTTGCAAGGGAATTAAAATTATGAGCTAACCAGGTTGCTACCTTAACCGTAAATTCTCCATTACCAGACAAACCCCAAAAGGTTCATCAAAAATATCATTAACTGGCAAAGGAATACCTTTAATGGTCTGAACTATGTGAGGAGGTGCCACTAAAGAAAGAGCAGCAATATCCCAAGAATGATCTTGAGTAATAAATTGATCAACCGTAAGTTCTAGATTTTGAATATAAAAAATATTTAAATCTAATAAAGTAATCAAATTCGTAGAAGAACACCAATTATCTAGTCAAAAAAGAATATTTGAACCTGATCCAACTTTCCATCTCAGCCCCTTAAGAAGAAGAGTCCTTAGCATGGGGTTTACATTCAAAAAAAGAGCTATGTTTTAAATATTTAGCCCGAATAGTACGAACCCACAAATTATTATGATCCGTGATTAATTTCCAACCTAATTTAGCAAGGAGAGCAGAGTTGATTGCTTCCGTTTTTCTTAAACCTAATCCTCCTTGACTTTTGGGTTGACAAATTTTGTCCCAAGAAATCATGGGGAGGCCATTCTTATCCGGAGATTGTTTCCAAAAAAAAACTACGGTTAATATGATCCAAAGAGTTAGTGGTTGTTTTAGGAAGACGCGCAGTAGTCATAGAATAAGAAGGAAAAGCTTCCAAATGACTTTGAATTAACACAGTTTTACCTGCCTTAGAAACTGAGTTGACAGACCAGTTATTCAATTTGCTTTCTGCTTTTGCTAAAAGGTGATGAAAATTCTGTTTAGTAAAAGTCGAGGAGTTAAAAAGGACCCCTAAATAACGACCAAGGAATGATTTAGGAGTCATATTGAAATAACTTGCTAAATTAACTTTTCTAGAATTATTCACTAGTTTTGAAAAGACTATAGAGGACTTATGGAAATTGATCAATTGCCCGAACATTGAAGAAAATTCATTAAGGATATCCCTAATATTAGCACACGCTCTAGATTTGGCCTGACAAAATAATAAACTATCGTCTACAAACAGTAAACAAGGGATGACCGGAGCAGATGGGGTAACTTTGAGACCAATGCCAGATGATTTATCTAATGATTGATGAAGTAATTTTCGAGCAATAACTTCCATACAAATAACAAAGAGAACCGGGGATAAAGGATCCCCCTGACGTAGACCTCGAGTGGGAGTGATTAATTCTGTAGAGTTTTTATTTACAGAAATCGAGTAAGAAACCGTAGTAACACAAGATGTAATCCATGTTATAAAAGTTTCATTAAATCCAAAAGCTTTTAAAGTGGCCCATAGGAAATCCCATTCAACCCGATCATAGGCTTTTTCCATATCTAACTTTAAGGCAAACCATCCTGACTTATTTTGGATTTATTAAACATATTTAAGATTTCTTGGACTAACAAAACGTTATCTTGGATCGCTCTTTCCGGGGCAAAAACATTTTGATTTGGTCCTATAACTTTCTGTAAGAATGGCTTAATTCTATTTACTAGGATTTTAGCTATTGCCTTATAAATTGTAGTACAAAGACTAATAGGGAGAAATTGATGTGCCTTATTTGGATTGTCAGTTTTTGGAATTAGTGTAATAATCGTATGATTAAGTTGTCTTAATAATATAGCATTATGAAAAAAAAACCTTTTATTGCTTTACATATATCCATTCCAATAATAGGCCAATAATATTGGAAAATTTTAGGGCCAAAACCATTCGAACCTGGAGCTTTAAACGGAGACATATCAAAGAAGACTTGTTTGATTTCTTCATCTGAAAAAGGTTGTGTCAAGGTTAAATTGTCTTCACTAGTAATACATGGTTGTATCCAAGGAATGGAAATATTACGAGAGCAAGTATGATCTGACTTGAATCGATTTCAAAATTCCTTAAAAAATAAACGAGAAATATCTGCTGGGTTATCAACCCATTGATCAACTTTATTACATAGCCTGAAGATTTGCGTTTTTCTTTTTCTTATTTTCATTGTTTCATGAAAAAATCTTGTATTTCGATCACCTTGTGTTAACCAATTTTTCCAGGCATATTTACCTAATATTTTTGGCCAAAAAGGAGTAGTTTTCACGTTGTTTAATTAGACTATTTAGATGTTGTTTAATATGATGATTTTTGGGAAATTGTTGAAGTTGTAGTTCCACATTTTGTAATTTTTCTTGGTTAATAGTCAATTTATTTTGAATGTTCCCATACTTATGGAAATTCCAATGTTTTAAATTAATTTTTAGCCGTGATAATTTCTGCATGATATAGTAAAAGCGAGAGCCTGAATATTTGTGTTTCCAATTCTTTATAGTCAAATTCTTAGCCTCAGGGTCCAATGTCCAAGCATTTTGGAAACAAAAGGAAGATAGATGATGTGTACTAGAATTGTCCACATATAGGCAAATAGGGCTATGATCTGAGCAAGAGAAATATTCGTAAGATAAAGTTGCATACGGATAATTTTGTAACCACGAAGCACTTACTAAACATCTATCTAAGCGTTCATAAACAATATGATTATTTGTTTGTTTTTTCCATGGGAAGGTTGTCCCTCTAGGAGGGATTGCATTATGCAAGTGAGCAAAACGTTGTAATTTCA